GATTGGAGGGAAGTGGTCCCGTAATTTTCTGAGCACTGTGTGATTTTTGGGAGATTTTTTTCTCCCTCTATTTTGCCGCCAACCTAGTTTTTGGGTCTTACTTTGGTTCTTAACTGTGTGGTAACCTAGTTTTTTGGGTTTGGAACCTCGGTTAAAGTGATGGGGGTCCTTTTTGGTTGATGAAAAGGTGTTTTATTAGAATATGGAATCATCTAACGATTTTCAGATGGTTCCCGACGTGCTCTCGGGAACTAAAGATATTTCTAGTGGTATGATAACTACTGTTAAACTGGATAGAACTAATTTTTTAGAGTGGTCTCAGTTTTCTAAACTTACCATTACTAGAGAGGTAAACTGGGATTCATCATAGGAAGGGAAGTGAACCCGAGTCTTGAAGATCTGAAATTTGCAAGGTGGGATCAGGACAACTCCCTTGTTATATCATGGTTGATTTGCTCAATGCAACCTCATATTGCCCGGAATTACATGTTTCTTCCATCTGCCAAGGATATCTGGGATAGGGTGGTTGCTACTTATTCCCAAGTTAACGATACTGCTAGAGTGTATTAGCTTCAGAGGGAAGCTTGCAGTATGCGTTAGGGGGAGAGATCTGTTGTTGTGTATTTCTCTTCTCTAGCTTATCTGGGAAGAAATGGATCACTTGAAAGCTCTAGTTTGGAAGGACCCTGAAGATGGTGAGCAGTATCGAAAGTACATAGAGGAGAATAAAGTCTTTGATTTTGGCTGGCTTAAACCCAAAATTTGATTTCACCAGGCAACACATTCTTAGTGCAGGCGTTGTCTCTCTTGCTACTTCTTACTCTCTTGTACATGGGGAAGAAAGCCGAAGAACTGCCATGATGCAATCCTCTGTGAGTGATCATTCTGCCTTTGTGTCATCTCGACCCAAGCAAAATACTAGCACACATCCCATTGCAGATAAGGTCGAGGATGTTATTTGTGAGTACTACAAGAAGCCAAGACACACTAAAGAAAGGTGTTGGAATATATTGTTGCAGTTAGAGAAGGGTGGTACATCCACACTCCACAACAAAATGGGGTGGTTGAAAGAAAAAATAGGCATGTGGTTGAAGTTACTCGAGGCTTATTATTCCAACTCGTTTTTGGGGCGATGCTGTTGAGAAAGCCGTGCATCTCATTAATAGATTCCCATCACGGGTCCTTAACCTTCATTCTCCTCATCAACTACTCTTCCCTGATTAACCTCCTTTTTATCTACCCCTTAAGGTCTTTGGTTGTGTTTGTTTTGTTCATGATATGAGTCCTTTCTAGCGAAAGTTTGATCCTAAATCAGTTAAGTGTGTTTTCCTTGGTTACTCTTCAGTCCAAAAAGGCTATTGATGCTTTGATGCTCTCTTTGGCAAGAGATACATCTCTAAGATGTTACCTTTTTGGAGTTCTCTTCCTTCTTCCAGTCATCTCGTCCTTCTCTTTAGGGAGAAAATGCAAGTAAAGATTGGACTCGTATCTGGCTTCTTGTTCCTACCTCTATTCCTCCCTCTCTTCCTTGTGACAATGGTATTCCTCCTTCTCCTCCTCCTCCTGTGTATTGGCCTCGATCCTGGCAGCACTGTAGGGTGCAAGTGGGTATATGTAGTTAAACACATGGCTGATGGTTCTGTCAAGATGTATAAAGCTAGATTAGTTGCAAAAGGATTCACCCAAAAGGAAGGGATTGATTATAAGTAGACCTTTGCTCAGTTGCCAAATTGAATACTATACGGGTGTTACTTTCTCTTGCAACAAAATTTTCTTGGGAATTACATTAGTTGGATGTCAAGAATGCTTTCTTAAACAAAGATCTACAAGAAATCTACATGGACCCTCCTCTAGGGTATGACATGAGAGGAAAGGTTATGGCCTCAAACAATCTCCAAGGGCTTGGGTCGAAAGATTATGCAAGGCAATGAATGTTATTGGGTACAAGCAGCGCAGTGCTGATAACACGTTCTATAAAAGAAATGAAGGAAAGCTAACAACATTTATTGTTTATGTTGATGATATGGTTGTTACGAGAGATGATTTGAAAGTTGAAGGACTTCTTAGCCTCAGAGTTTGAAATCAAAGATTTGGGACTTCTGAAATATTTCTTAGAAATAGAGCTGGCTAGATCTAGAGAGGGAATATACATCTGCCAAAGGAAGTATGCATTGAACCTTCTAAAGACAAAGAAGCTAGGATCTAGACTAGTAGAAACTCTTATAGAGAAAAATCATGGGTTATAGGAAGATGATGGAGAACTGTATCCTGACAAAGAAAGATATCAGAAATTAGTTGGTAAATTTCTTTATTTATCCCTCATAAGACCTGATATTGTATATGTAGTTCATGTGGTTAGTAGGAGTGGATTTGAGCCGAGCCAAGCCTAATATCTAGCTATTCGAGCTCGGCCTGCCAGTAAACTAGGAGGCTCGAGCTTGAGCTAGTGACTTGAGCTCAAATTCGGTTAGAGTCAAAAGCCCGTAAGTTCGAGCTCGGCTCGACTCGAGCTCGATTGTGAACCAAATGTTTTATAAAAATAAAAGACTATGCATATAAAAATTAAGAATTATAAAAACTAGTTATTATTATATATATAAAAATATTATGTTTTACATTTATGATATTTTTATATTTATTATTTTATATATATATATATACATACATACATACATACATACATAAAAGCTCTATTAGGCTTGCAAGCCTCACGAGCTGAGTGGCCACCCCTAGTGGTCAGCCAATTTATGCATTCTCCACAGGTTACACATATGAGGGTAGTAGAAAGGATCTTGAGATACTTGAAGGCATGTCCTAGGAAGGGATTGCATTTAAGAAACAAATGGAAGCCTACACTAATGCTGACAGAGCAGGTTCTCGTGGAGATTAAAGGTCTAGATCTGAATGTTGCACCTTCATAGGTGGTAAACTAGTCACTTAGAGGAGCAAGAAACAAACGGTTGTTGCAAGATTAAATGCTGAGGATGAATTTAGGGCTATGGCCCATGGAGTTGCTGAACTGATTTGGCTTCAGATTCTTATAAAGGAGTTAGGGACAGAAGTAACTAGACCTTTAAAGCTGTATTGTGATAATCAGGTTGCAATCAACATTGCTAACAACCCAGTCTAGCATGATAGGACAAAGCATATTGAGATTGTTAGACACTTTGTGTAAGAAAGAATTGTTTGTGGGGACCTTTGCATTCCTTACATGCCATCTACAAGAAAACTAGCTGATGTTCTTACCAAGGGTCTCACCAAGACAAGATTTATGGAACTATTATGTAAGCTGAGCATGAAAGATATATCTATGCTCAGCTTGAGGGGTAGAGTTGTTAGACTTAGTTTGTGAGCTTAGGCCTTATTTGTTATGTTATGTTATGTTTTTCTTTTATGTTTCTCTTTTGGGCTTAATGGGCCTGGGCCCCTTCTATTTTAATATGTAATTTCTTTCTTTCTTCTTGCCTACTAACCAGGGGGCAGATCAGTGATTTAAAAGGCATGCCTAAGGTGCGCCTAGGTGCACAGGCGAGGCACAGTTTAGGGTAGGCGCCTCACCCAAGTACTAGGCGCAACACTTTCGAAAGGCGTATGTATGCCTAGTGTGCCTAAGTGTTTTCCTGATGCGCCTTGCTCCTTACCCCAAGCATGCGCCTTTTGAAAATTTTGCGCTTTTTTGCTTTCTCTTTGAACCTAGTGGCTGGGAGAACTCCCTATTTGCTAATGTTGTTCATTCATTCATCTTAATAAAATATATTCATAAAAGACAATTAAAATTATAAAATTATTATTTTTTGTGTGAAAATATAGAATTTAAGACCCTAACATGAACTTGTTTGGGCTTGCCTCGAGGGGCGTGGCACAAAGGTGGCTCGTAGAGTCAGGAATGTAATATGTTTTACATCACATTAGTTACTTGAAATAATGCAGTTGAGGAAAAAAAAGAGATTGTGCGTTTTACATGCTTGAAAATGTTTTATGTTGAGCAAGAGCAAGTGAAGAGAGGGGAGGAGAAGAGAGAAGAGAGATGAGTCGAGTGACTGAAAGCCCTCCACAACTTAGGGGGCGAAAGAATGATTTTATTATTTATACTAGTACAGTCGAACAATATAAACAGAGGAGAAATTACAACAGTACCCTTATGGTACTAAATCTGAATACATAAACAACTGACAACATTTTATTTATTTGATTTTATTTTTAAATTTTCATTTGAATATGCTTTACATGTTATGTTTAGGTATTTTAGTTTTAGATAATAGGTTTTTGAAAACATTAATTTTAAAATTTAAGTTTATATTATTTATTAATATTATGCTTCATGTTTTTTTTTTTTGAAAATTTTGGCATTTTTTTTGACCTTTTGCATTTATTTTTGTAAATTTGCACCTTGCTTCAAAAAGGCGCGTTCCTCGCCTTGCTCCTCGAGCGCAAATTGGCTCTTGCGCCTTTTTTGCGCCTTGCACTTTTAAAACACGGGGGCAGATTTGTCTCTGTACTCTTTCTTGTAACCCTACTATAAATGATAAGATTAGGGGCTGTGAGAATGGCTGTTACCCCATTCCTCTCAATCTTCTTTTTTCTCCACTGTTCTTCCTCTCTAATCTGAAAACTAATATCTTTCATCTCCCTCCAATTTTTGGGTGCAACCATAGTTTTCAAGGTGCCAAGGTGAGGCTAGGTGACAGGGTGGTGCCTTGTTGTGCCTAGGTGGGTGCTTAGGTGATGGATTTTTTTAAGTAAAAAACATATACCCTAGGGTAGTTCCATAGGTTCCATAAACATATTTCTTAAATAATTATCCATAATTTTCATAAGAAAAGTATAAACTTCATGTTGAAGTATAAAAATCATCATATTCCAACGTATTCATGAGATGAATATGAAGAAAGAAAAGAAATTCAAATTTTCTTTTATGAAAAGCTTGGAGACATAATTGCATTTTATAGCATGTGCTGGTGACCCCACTGAAATATGGTTTGATCTGGTTTTTTTGACAGTTGTTTTGCGGATGATAAGTTTTGGATATGATTATTACAGGGCATGTCGAGATTATCATTTTGATGAAGAGGTAATTTGATTATAATTTTCTTGTTCAACCTATATTTGTTTTAACAAATGTTTTATATTTTCTTGGGCTGTTCTTGAAATTCTTTCCATACTAACTTGCTTCTTCTTTGGTCTCTAGAGATGATCCTGTTGTTCCATGGGTTTTTCCTTTTTCTGAAGATAAAAAAAAAAAGAAAAAGGAGATTAGAAAGAAAGGTGATAAGCAATCACCCAACAAAGAGCAAAGAAAAACCCCAATAGGAACAACCCCAAGATGGAAAAAATCCAAAATGCCCAGCCTGAAAACCAAGCTGAGCATTGATGGTTGTTTATTTGAAAACCCCTGGATTTCAGGCATTGGTGTTTCTTTCAGGAGCAATGTTAGAGATTCCTGAGGTATGCTCGAGTCTGGTTGGGAGAGGTGAGACTCTAGACAAACCTCTTCTCAAAGTTGAGGGGTTTATGACTGATATAAGCTCTAGTTACTTTGCAGTTGGGGTTTACAGTGACTATCAGGCTGTGCTGAGATGTTTGAGAGATGGAAGCGAGGGATATTGGGTATATTGACATTGGGTCAAAGAGGAACCTCTGTGGACAGGGGAACATTTCATTCCATTGGATAAGATCTTCCAATGATCTAGCTATTTCTTTAGCTACAAGTTGGGTAGCAAGGAATGTATTTCATATGGGATTAGCCTACAGGACTTTTTTTTTTTTACTTTTGTCAAGGGTGTACAAATAAGCTGTTTGTCAGGATTCTTACATTTTTTCTTTCTGTGTTTACTTTTATATCTTTTGTATCTTCTTTCTTGATGATTTATTAATTAATTCACTTGATGTCGATCATGTCACTGATAAAAAATCATTTCCATACTTCAACGTTAATTGAATTGCTGTTCCTTGCTTGAATTTCATAATTGTCTGTTTTGGAGTCTTGTTTCTTTGGCTGTTTTGATATTGACCTCATTACCTTTTCAAATAGCAGTGTTTAGGAAACCGGACCAGACTGGCCGGTTGGACTGGTTGAACCATGACCTGGGCCCCTGGCTGGTTTGGTCACACCCCAATAACTGTCTTTGTTAAAAACCCGGTGAAAACTGGCTGCCTGGTTATTTTAACAAGAAAACCAGTGAACCGGTCCTAGTTTCATGAAACCGGCCGCGCCATTAAATAATTGAAATTTTAAAATGTGTTTGACAAGACTTGAACCCATGACTTCTTATTTTCATATATTGCTTAATTACCACTAATCCATTTCTTTACTTGTGTAATTTAATGACTCTTTATTGTATACATTGCTTTATTATACACATATTTTAAAGAAAATGTAAATTAAGAGACTTGAGCCCTGTCATTTGCTTTAAAAATTAAGGAATTTGCCATCCATCCACTATATTTAAGTATATTAAAACTTGTAAAATATATTATACATAGTATTTATATGACCCGTAGTATATATACATATATGCCATGTCATCACAATTTGACCTCACAATTCTGACCCCTGAACCTCTCCCTTTCCCGGTTCAATGCCCAGTCTGGTTCTCTGAACATTGTCAAATAGTCAGCAATGATATTGCTTTTCCCGGAACAAATTAGCCCCATGTTCCTAACTTGATGTAGGAATATCCATTCCATGTATAACAAAGCTTATGTCATGCTGTGGGTCCTTCAATCTCCATTCTCTCTAATCTTGCACTTCTGTCGCTTTCATATTATCTGCAGAAACACATTCAACGTTGCCATATTTGTTCTTCAGGAAAGGCATGCTACTTTCTTTTACAGGTTAGCTATTTCTTATTGACAAGTCTTATTATATTAATGTTGCATTCATAGTTTCTAGATGCTGACACCAAGGTTCAAAATTTCGATGGGGGTGTATTATATCATTTCTTTTAGGTGTAAATACACCTATTTAAAGGGCTTTTGGAAGAAATCTTGTTTTTAATAATTAAAATTCATAAAAGAGGCTAAAACTCAAATTAAAAAATTAAAAAAATAAGAAAATGAAAAAGCACAAGGTTCAAAGTCTTGATGCACCCCTTCCGCTGCATTGGGGTGTATTGAAATTTTGAACCATGGCTGACACTTGGGTTCACTTAGATGTTTGATTTGGTGGATATGACCTGAGAATAGCAGAGCTAAACAGGCAATAGATAGGTGCATCATAATGATATTCTTTGGAAATATTTGATCATCCCAGTTTGTCCACTTTTTTTTTTTTTGATCAGTGACTGAAAATATTATTATTAACCCCATTATGTATTTCATCTTTCTTCCTTGAACTGGCATTCCGACTGTCATTGAGTACATAAGTAATTAATATACACTAGGTGCCATATTTACATTCAAAATTTTAGTAATGCTATGTTCTATCTGAGTCATTATCCTTTCTAGGAGTAAATTTGCTTCTTGTGTGTTCTGTTGTCTTTCAGGAACGAAGACTTCCTATCAAAAAATTCTCATTTTCTGTATACATGTGTTATTTGGTGTATGCACCCCTTTACATAGCTGGGCCAATTATAAGCTTCAATGCATTCGCTTCACAGGTATGCTTCCTCAGTGTTAGTTATCATCTTTCTTTCTTTCTTTATTATTTTGATAGATAGTTTTTTTCCCTCTTTACTATGGCTAAAAGTTTATGCTACTTTTGAGCATATAGCATGTAGACACTGACTGAATAGTATTTTAGGAAATGTGCCTGAAACTACAGAACCATTCAAATGAGTTTCATTGTATTAAGTGGAAGTATTTATGCTGTATGAGAAGAAGCAATGAAAGTGATTCTAATAGCTAAAGAGAAAATTTAGTGTACTGATTAGGAACCAGAATTTGGTACTTTTACCCAATGTTGTAAAACTTAGACTATATCAAAACTAGAAAGGCTACCTATCAAAACAAAAAGAAAAACTAGAAAGGCTACTGGGTCACAACTGACAAGTTGGTTCAACTGCCGGTCAACCCAGTGACCCATGATGTCATATTTATAAAATATAAAATATTATGTAAATCATGACATACATGTAAGTTGTGGCCAGATTGCTTTTCTCTTGGTTTTAATACAAGTGACCTGGGCAGATCCAAAAGATATAAAGTGACCAGGGTTCAAGTCATTTAATTTAGCTCACACTTTATTCAAAGATATATACACCCTATTTGCTAATGTTGTTCATTCATTCATCTCAATAAAATATCTTCTTAAAAGGCAATTAAAATTATAAAATCATTTTTTTGTGTGAAAATTAAGAATTTAAGACCCTAACATGGACTTGTTTGGGCTTGCCTTGAGGGGCATGACACAAAGGTGGGTTGTTGAATCAGGAATGTAATATGTTTTACCTCACATTAGCTACTTGAAGTAATTCAATTGAGGACAAAAAGAGATTGTGGGTTTTACATGCTTGAAAATGTTTTATATATTTGATTTTATTTTTAAATTTTCATTTGAATACGCTTTACATGTTATGTTTATGTATTTTAATTTCAGATAGTAGTTTTTTTTTTAATTTATTTTAAAATTTAATTTTATATTTTTTATTAATATTATGATTCATATTTTTTGTTTTTTGCATTTTTTGAATTTTCTGACATTTTTTTTTTATTTTTAGCTTTTTTTTTTTGTATTTTTGTGCCTTGCACCTTGGGTGCAAATTGGCTCCTGTGCCTTGCACTTTTAAAAAGACTAGGAAGCACACATGAGTGGAGAGGCATTTATTTGGCCTCCTTTTTTGAAGCATTTCACAAGTGTTCACCTTTCCAAGAAAACCTCCCAACACAGTGGTTGAACTTTGGGTGGTATGGACTTACTCCATATCTCTTTTGCTGGGTGTCCTCCAAAAATAAGATTCCTTTTATGGTTGGCCATGAGCCCAACAAAGGAGAGATTGTGCAGTAGAGGACTCAGTGTAGACCCAGTATGCAAATTTTGTGGGCAAATAGAGACCACGAAACACATTTTAACAACCTGTGTGATAGCCAAAATGTTCTGGAATATGGTAACAAGATATTGGATCAAAACATCCATTAAAGCTTAGAAGAATGGTGGAAGGAAGTTGGTAAACCACAAAACAATCAAGAGGTAAGATGGAAATGGGAAAAAAGTGAGTTTTATCATGTGGTTTTTATGGAAAAATCGAAATGAGAATATTTTTATAAATAAAAGCTATGCCCCTCCCAAAATAGTAGATAGAGCATTCCAAAACTGCAGAGAATACATAGAGGCTCATGAGAAAAAAAGGGGTGAGTGAACGAGAAAATACCCAAAGACCTATAATATGGATAAAGTTGGACCCACCGAAACAAGATGAACTAAAGATAAACTTCATCCTGCCTTATTAATGATCTATGTGCGTATGGGTATGTGATAAGAAATCACAAAGGTGAGATTATCAAGTTTGGAGCAGACCCCATTGGGGCCACATCAATAGCAGTAACAGAAACAAGGGCAGCCCTGGAAGCTCATAAACAACTAAAGGATGTACCAAACAGGAGCATTATTATCGAAGGAGACTCCCTAGGAACTATTTGAGCCCTACAAGGCACAACAAATGCGACATGGCAATGCGATAGCATGATTGAAGATTCCAAGAAGCTGGTGGAAGAGGTTCAAGCGAAGATCACCTACAAGCACATTCATAGAGAAGGAAACCAAGTTGCAGATTGGATGGTGAATGAAGGGCATGGAGGAGTCATACAAGGTCACACAGGTCTTCACCAAGATCTCAGGGACCTAGTTTTAGCGGATTCTCTAGGGATTCTTTTCTCTCGGCATGCGTAACTTCCAATTTTATCAAAAAAAAGAGGCACATTTTATCCAATGGGTATGGAGCCTATACCCTTCTCTTTTGTTTCGCTAACTTATTCCCACTTCACTAAAAGGTCCCTTTTCTCCTCTCTAGGTTCCCAAAGAAAGTCCTTCATCATTTTCTCTAATTGTCCTGCTATCCTCGTTGGAATCCTGATTGTAGATAGGAAATAGATTGGTAAGTTAGCTAGGGTTGCTCTAATTGGAGTTATTCTTCCACCCAGAGAGATGCAGTTCCATTTCCAAAGGGCCAATTTCTTGGTGAATCTCTCTACTACTGGCTTCCAAAAGGTTTTTGATCTTGGGTTACCTCCTAAAGGTACCTAAGTACTCCAATGGCCAATGTTTTATCTCACACCCTAACATCCCAGCCAATACTCTTAGCTCTTCTTCCATATTGATCCTTACGAGACAGTTCTTTCCCCAAATCACCCTCAACATAGAAATAAGTTCAAAGAAAACTATTAGATGGAAGCACTGAAAACTTAGTTAAACATTGTCAAACCTGCTACAGTTGTTGTCTGAAATTTAAAGCAAAATTTCCAGCCCAAGCCGAGAACCGGTTTCTCAGTATTTTGAAATCTGAATTTCCGGATCGATCTTGCACCAAACTTGCACCAAACTCCAATGGCTATAGATTCTTTTCCATCTACAGTCATGAGTTGTATGTTGCATCCATTGTAGTTCATTCAGATAGTAGAAAATTCAGAAAATATTATCAGATTTATAACAGAAATAAAAGAGAAGAAGAAAGGTTTCTTGGAGAGAAGAAAAGAAGAGAATGAGAAGAAGAGATGGGAGAAGCCAATAATAGATCTGGCCCCCCACTATTTAACTTATATACTCACTGATTAAAAAACATTATATGTCTAATATTAAACTGCTATCAATTACATAAAAGAAAACATTAAACTGTTGGGCCTTGGGCCCAATAACACTACTTTAAAATATAAAATATTAACTACTAAAACCTCATCACATATGTTTGGGGTTTATGTTCTGTTTTATTTTATTTTGGGTTTAGATATTTTGTACTGATTCTGTTTTATTTTGTACTGATTTTGTCCAAAATTCCCTTATTCTTGAAACTGAACAAAAACTTGTATGATATTAATGTTGTTTGTATGTCAGGCTTTTTTGTTGTAAAGAGACAGGGCCGAATGGGCCCTAGTATCTTTTCTTGCAGTATGTTTTTATTTATCTGTTAGCTAATGGCTATTGGGCCTATCTTCATGGGCCTGTTATTTCATTTTGCTAGTTCTCTTTATGTTACTGCCTAGCTGGCCACCCACTTAAGGGTATACTTGTAATTATACTAAGATTGAAGTTTAGTAAAAGGATTAGAGAAGGGAGGGAAGAGATATTCGACTTCTTCTTCCTTCCTCTTCTTTTCTCCATCTTCTTGCTTTTGTGCTGCTGTTCTCTTCTTTTCTTCCTCTCTTCTCTCTAATTTTTCCAAGTTTACATCAGTTTTAGAGGACTGATTTACATCTTGGTATTAGAGCAGGTTTTTTTCTTCTTTCTTTTCTTCTTTCTCTTTTCCCATACACCCTTCGATTAAGAGAGTGTATGGAGAGATAGGTTCTCTATAGTTTAGAGGATCTTTTGCCTACTTGGTAGAGGGTTTGGAGAGTTTAAATTTGGCCAGAAATTGCCAAGAAGTTATGTTGTACTGTTTCTGTCCAAAACCCTAGCCGATTAGAGATTTTCAAAGTTACTGGTAAAAGTGAAGCTTTGGGTGTGGCACTCAATGCTTGGGAAGTGCTTTTTGACTTCTAAACGAGGGTGGTTCAGTTTTGAAAGAGGTTGGGAAGCTCTGGTAGGAGCAACTGCATCTTCTCTCTTTCTCTCCAATAGCCGAATGCAAAGAAACCCTAGTTTTCAAGCATCTGGGTACTGGTTTGACTTCAAGCAAGTTTATAAAGACCAAACTTCTAGCTTTTTGATTTTCGTTTGATTAATGGAGCAATACGGAAGTGAGTTCAAGCAGGTGTCGGTTTTCGGGCTTGGCTCGGTAGATTCCATTTTGACTGGTGTGACCACAATTAAGCTAGATGGAACAAATTATCTTGCTTGGGCACAATCTATAAGGATTTATATCTGTAGTAGAGGAAAATTAGGGTACCTCACAAGCAGTAAAGTGAAACCCAAAGAGATAGACCCTAAACTTGAGAAATGGGTGCAGGAAAACTATACAGTCATAGGATGGTTGGTCAACTCTATGCAGCCTCGTATAAGTCAGCACTATCTCTAGATGTTCTCGGCCAAGGAGATCTGGGACAGTGTTACTGAAACCTATTCACAGAAGTTGAATGTGGCTAGAGTTTACAAGCTGAAAAGTGATGTGAAGAACCTAAGACAGGGAGAGAAGAGTGGCAATCTACTATTCTATACTGAAATCCCTATGGTAGGAAATTGATGTTATGGAGACAGTTGCATGGGAGAGTAAAAATGATGCAGAAATGTTTAGGAAGTTGGTGGAATGAAATAGGGTTTTTGAATTTCTTACTGGACTCAACCCTAAGTTTGACATCATTAGGCAGAATCTTCTGGTCAAAGATGAGGTTACTCTCGCCTAGGCATATGCTATGGTAAGCAGTGAGGAGAGTAGGCGGCAGGTCCAGTTACAGAGTCCACCTACAGAACACTTTGTACATGCTGGAATAAAGCCAAAGGGTCCAACTGAGAAGAAGGAGCAAGTATGTGAATATTGCAAGAAACCGAGGCATACGACGAACACATGCT